AAAAAGAGACAAAGAAGGCCACTCTATAATGATAAAGGGATCTATCCAGCAAGAAGATGTAACAGTCATAAATATATCTGCACTCAACACTGGAACACCCAGATATGTAAATCAAACACTATTAGACCTAAAAAAAAAAAAAAAAGAGACCCCAATATGATAATAGTTGTGGATCTGAGCATGTCTCTCTAAACATTGGACAAATCATCTAGGCAACAAATTAACAGAGAAACATAGGATTTAAAATGCACTTTAGACTAACTGAGCTTGACAGATATCTATAGAACATTTCATCCAACAACTACAGAATATATATTCTTTTCTCGGCATGTGGAACATTCTCCAGGATAGATCACACGTTGGGCCACAAAGTCAAGTCTCAACAAATTTTAAAAAATTGAAATCATTTCAAGTATCTTTTCAGACCACAACAGATTAAAACTAGAAATCAATAACAAGTGAAACTCAGGAAACTATACAAATACATGGAAATTAAACAACATGCTCCTGAACGACCTGTGGGTCTGTAGTGGATTGAATTATGTCCCCCCCCAAACTCACTGAGGCTCGAATTGTCTCCCAAGTTTTATGTATTAGAAATTAAGCCCCCACTGTGACTGTTAAGAGGGTGGGAAATCCTATTATGCTAATTGAAAGGTGGAACCTTGAAGAGGTGATTGGATTGTAGGACTGTGCAGTAGTGAATGGATTAAAAATAGTGGTCAGGGCATGGTTCTGAGGGCTTTAAAAGAAGAGGAAAGTCTGTCTTTCTCTTTCTGCTCTCTGTTTCCACCATCTTGCAATGGTGAGACCTGGGTCACTGTTGCACCACCAGATGGACTTTGGACTTCCCAGCCTCAGAAACTGTAAGCAATAAATTTTGTTTTCTATATAAGTCACCCAGTTGCAGGTATTTTGTTATAAGCAATATAAACAGATTAATACAGAAAATTGGTACTGCAGAATAGGGTGTTGCTATACAAATACCTGGAAATATGGATGCAGCTTTGGAACTGGGTGTTAGGCACAGGTTGAAGGAGTTTGGAGGACTTAGAAGAAGACAAAAAAAAAAATGAAGGAAACTATGGAACATTTTAGAGATTGGTTAAATGGTTGTTACCAGAATGCTTATAAAAATGTGGACAGTAAAGGCCATGTGGATGATGAGGTCTCAGATAGAAATGAAGAACTTATTGGGAACTGGACAAGTGATAACCCTTGCTACACCAGAGCAAGGAACTTGGCTGCATTGTGTTGATGCCCTTGGACTTCGTGGAAGGTGGGACTTAAGAGTTGTGAACCAGAATGCTTGGCAGAAGAAATTTCCAAGCAGCAAAGCATTAAGGAAGCTGCATGGTTACTTTTAACAGCCTACTTTGAGTTATGGTGGCAAAGACATGATGTAAAGCCAGAATTTAAAAGGGAAGCAGAGTGTAAAGATTTGGAAAATTTGCAGCCTGGCTGTGCGGTAGAGAAGCAGAGAGCCAGAGAAAAACGCAAGGGTGAAGTGGATAAACTGTTTGCTAAAGGCATTAGTCTGGTGATGAGGCAGCCAGATGCTAATAACCAAGACAATGGGGAAAAAGCCCTAAAGGCATTTGAGAAGTCTGGAAGGGTGCCCCACCCGTCACAGGCCTTGAGGACTAGAAGGACTGAGTTGTCCTGGAGGGCAGACCCGGGGTGCAGCTGCCCTCAGGAACTTGCTTTCTGCATCCCATTTGCTCTGGTAGGAACAGCACTGTCTCAAGCAGCCCCAAGTGTGGTTTGTGCAGCAGCTCTGGAGAGTGGAAACCTGAAACCTCAGCGGCATCCACAATGTGTTAAGTCTGCAGGCTGGCAGGACCTGAGAGCAGTGGAGGCGTGGCAGCCTCCACCCTGATTTCAGAGGATGTATGGAAAAGCCTGGGGGTCCAGGCATAGATCTGCTGCAGGGATGGAGCTGCTGCAGAGACCATCTACTAGAGCAATGCTGAGCAGGAATATGGGGCCTGAGTCCCCACAGAGGGCCTCTACCAGGGAAACATCTAATAGAGTCACGGCAGCGGAGTTGCTGCCAGGACCCCAGAACTACGGGGCCAGTGGTAACCTGCAACACATGCCTGGAAAAGCTGCAGGCACCAGTGCAGCCTACTGGGCAGCGCCTGGGAGAGCTGTTGGAGTGAAGCTGCCTGAGGCTTTGGAGGCGCAGATGCCCAATTGTTCCCAGGATGCAGGACTTGGAATCAAAGAAGATTATTTTGGAGCTTTAAGACATGTCTGCCCTGCTGGGTTTCAGACTTGTTTGGGGCCTGTTTCTTCTTTCTTCTGGCCTATTCCTCCCTTTTGGAATGGGAATGTATACCCAATGTCTGTTCCACCATTGTTTCTTGGAAGTAGGTAAATTTGGTTTTGTTTTTACAGGTTCACATCTAGAAGCTTTTGCTTTTGGTCTCAGATGTGACTTTGGACTTTTAAGTTGGAGCTGGAGCAAGCTAAGACTTTTGGGACTATTGGGATGGAATGATTGTATTTTGCATGTGAGAGTGAAATGAGTTTTGGGGGGCCAGGGGTGGAGTGATAGTTTGGATGTGTTGTCCCTGCCAAAACTCATGTGGAAATCTGATCCCCAATGTGATGGTGTTGGAAGCTGTTTGAGTCATGGGTGTGGCTCCCTCATGAATGGATTAATGCTCTCCCTAGGTGGGGGGATTAATGAGTGAGATCTTGCTCTATGAGTTCCCGTGAGAGCTGGTTGTTTAAAAGACCCTGGCACCTCCCCTCTTTCTGTTTCTTGCTTCCTCTCACCATGTGGTCTGCTTGTACCCTCCAGCTGTCTGCTGCTTTCCACCATGAGTAGAAGCAGCCTGAGGCCTGTGCCAGATGCAGCTGTCCCAGAATTGTAAGCCAAATAAACCTCTGTTTATAAATTATCCAGTCTCAGATATTTCTGTTATAGCAACACAAAATGGACTAATATAGGGTTCAAGAAGAAATTAAATAGGAAATCAAAAAAAATTCTTGAAATTAATGAAAACAAAGACACATAATACCAAAACCTGTGGGAAACTGCAAAAGCAGTACTGAGAGGGAAGTTTATTGCAATAGATGCTTTCATCAAAAGATGTAAGGTTAGGTTTCAAATAAACAACCTAATGCTACACCTTGAACTAGAAAAACAACAATCCAATCCAAAATTAGTAGACAGAAAGTAATTATTAAGATCAGAGCACAACTAAATGAAATAGAAACCCAAAGAATACTACAAAAGATCAATGAAACAAAAAGTTGTTTTTGAGAAGATAAACAAAATAGACAAGCTATTAGCAAGGCCAACTAAAAAAAGGAAGAGAGAAGATCCTAATAACAAAAATTAGAAATGAAAAAGGAGACATTACAACCATACCATAGAAATACAAAGAATCATCAGAAACTATTTTAAACAACTATATGCCCAGAAATTTGAAAACCTGGAGGAAATGGATAAATTTCTGGAAACATACAAACTACCAACTCTGTACCAAGAAGACATAGAAAACCTGAACAGCCCAATAACAAGCAATGAGATCGAAGCAGTACCAAGCAGTTTCCAAACAAAAAAAGCCCAGGAACAGAGGCTTTTCTGCTGAATTCTATCAGACCTTTAAAGAGGAATTAACGACAGTTTTCTTCAACCTACTCTTAAAAAAAAATTGAAACAGAGGCCATTCTCCCAAACTCATTGTATGAGGCCTGCATCACCCTCATACCAAAACCAGACAAAGATACAACAAAAAAAAGAAAACTGTAGACCAACATGTCTGATGAACATAGACACCAAAATCCTCAACAAAATATTAGCAATCAGAATACAGCCACACATCAAAAAATTATACACCATGATTAAGTGGGATTCATCCCAGGAAGACAAGGATTGTTCCACATATTCAAGTCAAATGTGGTACACCACATCAACAAAAGTACAAAAACCAATTGGTTATCTCAATAGATGCAGAAAAAGCTTTTGACAAAATTCAACATCCCTTCATGATAAAGAGTCTCAGCAAATTAGGTATGGAAGGAAGATGTCTCAGCACAGTAATAGCCATATTTGGCAAACCCAATGGCAATATCTTTCTGAATGGGGAAAAGATCAAAGTTTTTTCCTTAAAAATGGGAACAAGACAAGGATATCTACTCTTACAACTCCTATTTAACATAGTATTGGCAGTACTAGCTAGAAGAGTCAGGCAAGAAAAAGAAATAAAGGGCATCCAGATTGGAAAAGATGAAAAACTGTCCCTGCTTGCAGATGACATGAGCCTATATATAGAAAAACCTAAAGACTCTACCAGAAGACTCTTAGAGCTGATAAACGATTTTAGTAAAGTTACAGGATACAAAATCAACACACAAAAATCAGTGGCTTTTTTGTACTGCAATAATGTACTAGCAGAAAAAAGAAATCAAGAAAGCAAGCCCATTTATGATAATAGTCACCAAACAAAGAAACAATCAAAAAAACCCTGAAAATTAATTTAGCAAAGGAGGTAAAAGAGCTCTACAATTAAAACTGCAAATCAGTGCTGAAAGAAATGAAAGAGAACACAAAAAGATGGAAAGACATTCAATGCTCTTATGTGTGAATATGTGTGTTAGAAAAACAAGTGCTTGTCATCACTGTTTGCAATACCTGACATACATTTGAGTTACCTCAATAGTACTGTAAGTGAAGCTAGAATAAAAAAAAAAAAAAGATGTTGAGAGGGAGTTAAATGCTGATTTGTGAACTGTTTCTTTTATTTATTTTTTTCCCTTAACTTTGTTCATCTTACAGAAAGAACCACACTAGTATCCAATACTTGTAGGTGAATTTTCTGAACTTATAGAATTATTAGGTTTAGTTACTTATTAAATATCCTAGGCTAGGATATTTATCCTACACTAAATAATCATGCAACTAGCATGCATTTGTAAGTGTCATTTTTATTTACTTTTAGGAGCTGGAGGTGCTATTTTATCCTATGTGAGAAGTCAGCCCAGAGATGGAAAACTTTATTCTGTATGAAGAGATTGGCAGAGGAAGCAAGACTGTTGTTTATAAAGGTCGACGGAAAGGAACAATCAATTTTGTAGCTGTTCTTTGTACTGATAAGTGCAAAAGGCCTGAAATAACCAACTGGGTAAGTCAAGTGTGTTTCCATCCATCTGGGGAAAGACAGAGCTGTGATTAGATTGAAAAGGTAGCATGTAAACAGAAGCCGTTGAACTCACTATATGAAGTACCACATTTTCAGTCTGGAATGGACAACTTTCTATCTGTTTCAGTGCCAGCAATCTTGAATAATTACTAATAAACATATCCAAGTAATTTTTTTTTTGGTACAGGTCAGGGAAACTATGGTCTATATTAGGTCATTTACTTTGGAAATTTAGTGTATGAATATGAGGCTTTCCTAAGGAAGGACACTGAGTGAGCACTTAGGTTTGATGTAGCTGTGTCACTTCATAGCCTAGGCTTTTGGACCATACCAAGTTTTCTTTTTTTTTTTAAATTGTGGTAAAATACTCATAAAATTTATTGCCTTAATGATTTTGAATTGTACAATTCAGCGATAAGTATACTCATATTGCTGTGCACCCATCACCACCATCTATCTCCAAAACTCTTCATCTTGCGAAACTGAAACTCTATGCCCATTAAGTTCTTAACTCTTCATTTCTCCTCTTCCCACCTTTTGGCAACTATCATGCTATTTTCTATGATTTTGACTAATGCTAGGTGGGTTATGACAGTGATATCATGCAGTATTTTTTTTTTTTTTTGTGACTGGCTTATTTCACTTAATATAATGTCCTCAAGGTTCATCCATGTTTTGGCATATATCAGAATTTCCTCCTTTTTGAAGCTGAATCATATTCCATCATACATATATATAGTACCACACTTTGCTTATCCATTTGGCGGACACTTAAGTTGCTTCCATGTTTTGACTATTGTGAATAATGCTGCTACAAATATGCGGATACAAATGTCTCTTTCAGATCCTGCTTTCACTTCTTTTGGGTATTGCCTCTTGGAAAGAGGAAATAGACGTCATGATGAATGGGCACTACTGTCTTCTTTAACAAACTCTACAGCTAATGACTCCTTAAACTATGTGCATGAGTAACTTTCAGTAAAAGTAAATACATTAAAATTCAATAATAAGAAGGCAAGGGGCCGGCCGTGGCTCACTCGGGAGAGTGTGGTGCTGATAACACCAAAGCCACGGGTTCGGATCCCATATAGGGATGGCCGGTTGCTCACTGGGTGAGTGTGGTGCTGACAACACCAAGTCAGGGGTTAAGATCCCCTTACTGGTCATCTTTTAAGACAAAAAAAGAAAAAAGAAATAATAATAAGCCAAACATTCTAATAGAAAAATAAGCAAAGCACATTGAGACATTTATAAAATAATAAGATATCAATGACAATAAACATTTTAAATGTTCTCAGTCTCACTAGCAATTGAAGAAGTGTTATATTTTTTCAACTATTATTATTATTATTATTAGGAAAGATCAGTATTAACAATGGTAGCCTGTTTGGGTAGGGTATATCAAATCACTATTACTATTCATGTAAGTAGAAATTAATAATACAACTCTCAGCAGGGTTCTTTAGAGTAATTTCAGAAGTTTTTAAATGTTCATGTTCAGTTTTTTTTGGCCATAGAATAAGTCTTAATACATTTAAAAAGACTAAGGTCATATAATATATGTTCTCTGACCACATTAACAGAAGAAAATTTAGAAAACTCATATACGTGTGTGAAATTAAACAGCACTCTCCTAAATAAACAATGGGCACAAAGAAAAATCACAGGGAAATTAGAAAGTACTTTGAGATAAAAATCAAAGCACAACATATTAAAATCTATAGATGCAAGGCTCATGTGGTGCTTAGAAGAAAATTTATTCTTGTAAACACCTATATTAAAAATAAGAAAAATCTCAAATCGGTAATGTAAACTTCTACCTTCAGAAAATAAAAAAAGAGCAAACTAAACCAAAAGCAAATATAAGTAAGAAATAACAAATATTACAGCAGAAATATATGAAATAGGGAATTAAAAAACAGTAGAAAAAATCAACAAAACCAAAAGCTGATTCTTTAAACAGATCAAAATTTGCAAATCATTATCTAGACTGACCAAGAAAAAAAGAGGGAAGACCAAAATGGCTAAAATCAGAAGTAAAGCAGGAGCATTATTACACTGTCTTTTTCAGCAGTGAAGACAAAATCTCTGTTCTCAGAAAGCTTCTGTTTTATTTTTTTAAATTAAATTTTATTTATATTTATTTTTGTGGGGTACAATGTGTCGTTTAAATATATGCATGTCTTGCCCAATGATTCACTTAGGGTAGATAGCATAGTTTTGTCTGTATTAGTTCACTCCTTATCTTCCACCCCCACCCCCTCCCAGCCTCTGGTAACCATTATTCTATTCTCTACCTTTTTTTTTTGTTTAACACACAAAGGTTAATATCCTTATTGCAAAAAGAACTCTTAAAAATGAATTAGAAAAATCTAAGCTGAAATTTGGTGAAGCACATGAGCAGATAAGTCACATGTCCAAAGAAATACATGTGGTTAATAAGTATCTTCTAGGATCTGGTTGGGGGTAGGGCTGTCCTGGCCCCCAAGGATCTGAGGATCCCAGATATCGGGCTGGCTCCGTTGCTGGCCTGGATGTGCTGTGGCAGCAGTGGTAGCAGGGGTGGGGCTAGAGCCCAAGGCCCCCATCTCCCAGGACACCCCAGGTTTTGGGCTGGCTCCATTGCTGGCCTGGATGTGCTGCGAGGTGGTAGTAGCAGGGGAGGAGGTAGTGCCCAAGGCCCGCATCTCCCAGGACCCCCCAGGTGTTGGGCTGGCTTCCGTTGCTGGTGGTGGCGGGACAAGGCTAGGGCCCATGGCCCCAGTCTCCCAGAACCCCCCTGGGTGTCAGGCTGGAGGAAGCTTCTGTTTTAACTGGAAGAGAACTATATATAATAAACATATGGATTATTAGTGTTAATTGCTGGAAGAAAAATAAAGCAGGAGATAGAAAAGAGACTGATGATGGCTGTTGTATAGTTAGGATGGTCAGAAGGTTCTCTTTGAGGAGAAATGTGGGCACTGTGGTCTGCACATGGCAGCTTCCTAGTGGTGGCAGAGGCAATGTTCTAGAGATGACAGCTATTACAACTGTGATGGCAGGGTCCTCATTCCTCCATGTCCTGTTGGTGGCAGGGGCAGATGCTCTCTTGGTGGCTCAATTTATGGTGTGATTTTGGGAGTCTTTTCTAGAAAGTCAGCTTAGATTCTTTTTCATGACCCTTACCATCAGTTCTGTGAATTATCTGTGCCCGTTAAAAGTCCTTTTGTAACCAGAGTGGATTCTTTTTTTCTGCAACAAAAAGTATTGGCCAAATCATGTGGTGTGGCGGTCAAGTAAAGAAAATGATGCAGGGAGAAGAGAGAAATCAGTTGTATGAATTGCAGCTGATGAGGTGAGGATTAAGGATTTTGCAATGGAGAGGCCACTGATGACCTTGAAGAGAGTGACTTTGGTGAAGTGGGGAGGATGAAAGCAGGAATCGGAATGGATTTAAAGAGAAGTGGGAAGAGAAGGTAGAGGTCATTCTTAAGGAGTTTGCTGTATCAAGGAGCTGAGAAATAGGGTGATAGCTGGATGGGGATATGAGATTAAGATGGAAGGAATGATCAGGAGTAACTGATAGACAGAACTCCTGATAAGAGACCTGAAATTAAAGCAGGTGGTTCATTTTCTCTCATGTAAAGAAGTCTAGCACTTGTAAGCTGGTTCCACCACGTCATCAGTTCCCTGTATTTCCTCTCTTCGTTGCTTGGCTTATGTGCTCAAAGCCAGTTCACAGTTGCTGGATGGCCACTGCACCTTTAGTTTTCCAGGGAGGAAGAGGAGGAAAGGGGGTGCCAAGGAGTTACCTGGTGTCTTAAATAAACCCCCTTTAAAAGTTTTCCAGGAAACCTCAGCCAATGACCCTGTTAATGTCTTGTTTGTACTCCGTCCATCTCTGCAGGCGGTGAGGAAATGTTTTCTGGCCAGACACAAAGCTGTTTCCAATAGTATAGGGAATCTGTTATTAAGGACATAGGCAAGGTGGTTATTAGGTAAGCAATTAGCAACCTCTTATGAGAGATAATAACTGCAGTGTGTTTATATGCTGATGAAAATGATCCAGTAGCAAGGGAGAAATAGACAGCATAGGGTGAAGAGGAGACAGTTGTAGAACTGAAGTTTGAGGGAGGATGGGATCTTGTATACAAAAGGAGGTGTTGGCTTTTGAAAGGAACATGGATGGTTGAAGGAAGGCAGGTATTTGGGACAACATGCAAGTTGTTGATAGATTACATTCCCTTCTGGTTTCTCTGAATTAAGCAACATCATCAGGTAGGTGGTGGGAGGAGAAGAAGACAGTGTTAGAGGTCAGAGGAAAGAGGAGGCGTGAATGTCACTTAAAGGGCAGATTGTCTGGGGCCATTTGAGATTTGTGATCGTAAATTTAAAGTAGATCAGTCAGCATGGTTTGTGTCTGCTTCAGCTGCTTGGGTATATGCAGAGTGTGTGGAGGGTTGAATGCTAGCATGAGTGAGCCTAGAAAGTGAGTGTATCATAGGCTAGGATGTGTGAAAGAGATTTTGGAGGTAATGCAGTTTTTAGTACAAGTCTAGCAATGGCATTCAATAGAAATATAATGGGGCTACAAATCTAATTTTAAATTTCCTAGTAGCCACATTGAAAATGGAAAAAGAAATGGGTGAAATTAACGTAAGCAGTTTTTTTTGTGGGTGGGGTGCAGCTTGGCCAGTAAGGGGTTTTAAGAATATATTTTTTTAACCCAATGTATACAATGTATTATCATTTCAACATATACTCAGTATAAAAACTATTAATGAGATATTTTTCATCCTTTTTTTAGTATTAAGTCTTCAGAATCTGATGTGTATTTCATACTTGTAGCACATCTCTGTTCAGACAAGCTGCTTTTCATGTGCTCAGTAGCCCTGTGTGGCATGCGGCTCCTACATTGAACAGTGCAGGTGTATGGAGTAACCATGGATAGGTAGATGAGTAGAGGGAGGAGGCAAGATTGTGAAAGGCGATGTGGCCCAGCATCTGGGAGAGTAGGCATTGGGCGTATGTTGAGTGATGGAGGGTGCTGGCGGGATGTACTGGGGCCTGAATTCTGTTGGAATTGCCACACCTCCTTTATTTTTCATCAGGCCCTCCCCCTCTCCATGCCTGAATCAGTGGGTGTCCTTAAACATGTGCAGCAAGTGGTCCTCTTCATTGTCTGGTGGTCTTACTAGTTTTGTGGTTTTTGACAAGGTGCTCCTCAAATTCTCTCTTGGTCACTCTGATTATTGGTTTTCTCCTCATCTATCTTCTAAGTTATGTGACCCCATTTTCCTCTGTGTTATAGTATGAACCCATCTAGTTGTTCCCAGAGTGTTTCACTTTTAAAATAGGGAACTCCATATTTCTACAAGTTATGGGCCCTTTAGCTTGTGTTAAGTGACAGTAGAATTTGATGCTATTAAAAAAAATTTTTTTTTCAAATAATAGAATCTGAAGCACTTTGGTAGTTGTCCACAATTCTGGGTCTTGAAGGTTTGCTTCTAATGCACACATTTTTGTATTTAATGGAATTTTATTTTATTTATATATATATTATATACATATATATATTTTATTTATTTATTTATTTTTAAAAAGATAACCTGGGGGCTGGGGTGGCGCACTGCGCTAGTGCGCCGCTTGGGAAGCGCGGTGGCGCTCCTGCCGAGGGTTCGGATCCCACATACAGACCGGCCGCTCACTGGCTGAGCGAGGAGTGGGGGCAATACCGAGGGTTGCGATCCTGTAGCCGGTCCCGGTCTGGTCCGGGCGCAACACTGAGGGTTGCGATCCGTTGCCGGTCACGAAAAAAGACAAAAAAAAAAAAAAAAAAAAAAAAAAAGATGACCTGTAAGGGGATCTTAACCCTTGACTTGGTGTTGTCAGCACCATGCTCTCCCAAGTGAGCCATGGGCCAGCCCTTATTTTTTTATATTTTTGATGGCTGGCTGGCTGGTATGGGGAACTAAACTCTTGACATTGGTGTTACAAAGTTGTGCTGTAACCAACTGAACTAACTGGCTAGCTCTTTAATGGAATTAAAAAAAAATCCCAAAACAATTCGTATTTTTAACTGACAGGGAATTTTGCATTTTTATTTTTTGCTTTTGATGTACAAGTATTCTTAAGACCTAATGGAAATATACATTTTAATGTTAATGTGTTTATTGTAATGATTCCTCTTTTAATAATCTGGGTGAATTGATGACATTATAATCATTAAAAATATTTTTAAAAAGATTATAGAATACTTCTGAGAGTTCTTTTATTTTTTTCCTTTTTTAAATTTATTTTTTATTAGCATATTTATTATTACAAATCGTAATTATTTGTTATGCCTCTTACCTGACCAATCACTTCCCAAACTCCCCTCTCTCCCTCCCCTCCATCTCTAGTATCCTTGCTTTTGTTTTCTTCTTTTGAAAGTTTAATGTATTATTGTGGTCTTTTGTTTCCTCCCTTCCTCCTTTCCTTCCACTTATGAGTGAGGGCATGTGGTATTTTTCTTTCTGTGTCTGGCTTATATCACTTAACATAATTTTCTTCAGGCTCATCCATGTTGCTATAAATGGCAGAATTTCCTTTTTTTTTATGGCTGAGTAGTATTCCATTGTGTATATATACCACATTTTCCTTATGCAGTCATCCGTCGATAGACATTTAGGTTGGTTCCATAGTTTGGTTGTTGTAAATAGAGCTGCGATGAACATGGGAGTGCAGGTGTCCTTTGACATGATGAGTTCCATTCCTTTGGATATATACCCAGTAGTGGGATTGCTGGATCATATCATAGCTGTATCTGTAGTTGTCTCAGAAACCTCCATACTGTTTTCCATAATGGCTGTACTTATTTATAGTCCCACCAATAGTGTAGAAGAGTTCCCCTCTCCCTACATCCTCACCAGCATTTGAGTTCTTTTAAATATTATAAAAGTAATACATATTCATTGTAGAAACTTGGACAATACAGAAAAATGGATAGAAGAAAAAAAGTACCATTGTTCTGTCACCTGAAGGCAGCAATCACTGCTCATGTGGTGATTTCTTTCCTTCTGGTCTTTTTTTTCCCATGAGTTTTAAAAATGCTTTAATCACGGCATTATATAATTTTGTTTCTTACCTTTTTCATTTAACATTATAACATCATCATTTTTCCATGTTGTAAAATTAAATAGGGAGTCTAATATTGGCTTAATATTTTGTCAGTTTATAATACAGAAACTTCCTTAACTCTTACTGTGTTATTGAGCATTTAGGTTATTTTTACTTAAGAAGTGTTTTTTTTACTTTAAAGTTACTACTACTTTTGTCTGTGTTTTAAAAGTAATGTGTGTAGTTCCACCAATAACAGCAGCTATTTTGGAGGATACCTTCTGGTCATTTTCCTATAAGTGATTCTTTTGCAATTTGTATTTACACAAATACACAAAACAGTATTATGTATATTTCTAAAAGTTATTTTTAAGATTGTACATTAAATTAGCATTTTTCCATGTTACCATAATTTCTTTTTTTTTTTTTTTTGAGACCGGCAGCACCGCGCTCAGCCAGTGAACGCTGTAAGCGCACCGGTCATCCCTATATAGGATTCGAACCTGAGACGGGAGGGCTGCCGCGCTCCCAGTGCCGCACCCTCCTGAGTGCGCCGCGGGCTCGGCCCAATGTTACCATAATTTCTAATGTCTGTAGAGAATTCCACCAAATAAATTCCACCTTTCTAAAATCCATTTACCAATGATTTATTTAGGTGTTTCTCAGTAGATATAAGGGTTTTAAGAACTTTTTATTGTTAGAGTGAATGCTGTGTGTTTTTATAGGTCCGTCTCACCCATGAAATTAAACACAAGAATATTGTAACTTTTCATGAATGGTATGAAACCAGCAATCATCTCTGGCTCGTAGTGGAGCTTTGCACAGGTAAGAGTGTGTAAGAAGTGCCGTAAATGTAACCAATTTACGTAGTACTGAAAAAACATATGGTGTGAGTTTTGTTACTTTACTTTTGTCTTCTATTGCACATATAAGTAGTGTTGATATTATTTACTATTAACTTGAAAATGTATTGCTTGATGGATATTAGGGAACGGTAAAGAGCAAAGATGATTGGTGAAAGGAAGAATTATGTAAATTCAATTTGGGGTTGACTTTGATATATTAATAAATCACTTACATTGAGTAATGACAAAGAATCATTAAATATTAAGACATATCGTAATTATTACTAGCTTTAAGAATCTAAATGATTATATTGACAATTAGAATTTATAAAATTTAATCCTAAAAGACGTAATTTTGGATTAATAACTTATTTGCATTTTAATTTTCTGAATTAATAGGAAGGGATTATGGTTGGATTATTTCTTTAAATGTGTATACTCACAGGTTGTCAGGGGACATCCCTAGATTACTCTTTATTCCTGACCCCTGACCAGGCGTAATATCTTAACTCTAAAGTATTCCTGTTTGGAATGGTTCCTTACCCACCAAAACAAAATAAACAACCATCCCCCCAAAGTCACCTCTTACCTCCATCATAGTAATTCTTCTTTTTTTTTTTTTTTTGTCCTTTTTTGAGACCGGCCGCACCGCGCTCAGCCAGTGAGCGTCGGCCATCCCTATATAGGATCCGGACCGCGGTGGGAGCGCTACCGCGCTCCAGCGCCGCACTCTCTCCAGTGCACCACGGGCTCGGCCCTCCATCATAGTAATTCTAATTGAACTTTCAGATGCCAACAGAGACTTCACTTTTTCTGAGCTTGGCTGTTGTAATCTTGACCCTTTAAAAAAAAGTTGTCTTGAGCAGCCCATGGCGCACTGGGGAAAGTGCTGCGCTGGGAGCGCAGCAGCGCTCCCGCCCGCGGGTTCGGATCCTATATAGGGATGGCCAGTGCACTCACTGGCTGAGCGCGGTGCGGCCGGTCTCAAAAAGGACAAAAAATAAATAAATAAATAAATAAAAATAAAATAAAAAAAAGTTCGTTTCAGAGCTGGCCAGTTAGCTCAGCTGGTTAGAGTGTGGTGCTGATAACACCAATGTCTGGGGTTCGTTCTCTGTACCAGCCAGCCAAAAAAAAAAAAAAAAAAAAAAAAAGATTGTTTCTGGCACTTAGATGGCAGAACTGTAACTGGGATCCTGGAAGAATATAGCAACGGAATTTACAATGTGCTTGCCTTTGGCCTTTTATGTTATCAGTGGTGTACTCTAAGGATGGTGATTGTTAAGGAAAGGCAATGTCCTTTTTCCATGCAGTACTTTGCAGAATGTGACCTGACTTTACACATGAGTAAATGAGACTATAAATTGCATAATGTGACTTAAGTGCACAGTTTTGAGAGTATTTAACACTGATTTTTGTTGCTGTTCATTTCTTGGGGGACCTGACGGAGTGGGCACTCTCCTCGAGCTGCTCAGGAGTGTGGGCACAGACTTTTTTTTACAGTGCTTTGATGACTGTGTTCACTCACATGTGTGTTTACCCTGCCAGACTGTCAGGGTTTGCTGTCTTGATCATTTTTTAATGCTCAGTGTCTGGCAGTATAGAACCTCTCAGAGACATTCTGTGATGTTGGTGTGTTGAAATAGGTGGTTTCAACCATCTTCTTGCAGGTGGTTCCTTGGAAAAGGTTATTGCTCAAGATGAAAACCTCCCAGAAGATGTTGTGAGAGAATTTGGGATTGACCTGATTACTGGATTATATCACCTTCATAAACTTGGCATTCTCTTTTGTGACATTTCTCCTGGGAAGGTAATTAATGAAAGTTTTGATTTCCTAACTGATTGTGTCTCAATTTAGAGTGCTTTTTCAGAGGTGTTTTTATTTTTAGATAAAAATCTGGTATAGAACATCTTGAAATTTTAGCTACCTATTTAAGTAGCTTTTTGAATGTAAAATCTCTCCTCCTTTCAGAGCTATGAGTAATTATTACTTATTACTGCTGCTAAAGTATATTGTGAGTGATGAGCCTATAAGAAAATACTCTCTTAGCTCTTAAATCGTAGTATGCATGTATGAACCATTATTTTAGCTTGATAATGGCATTCTTGGCTATACATGTATGATTCCTGATGTTATCGATCAAATATTTTCTTTTTTGTTAAAATTAATTATCCATAACAAAATCTGATTCAGTGCAGTAGAGTTATAAAACCAGCTTAGTTTCCGAGTTGCGTTCAACAGTGACACTTAGGAGCCATGTGATCCTGGATAAGTTACCCTGCCTGTCTGTGCCTTAGTTTCCTTGTCTGTGATATGGAGATATTTTTGAGGTGGTTTGTGAGGATTACATATTATATTTAGATTAAGCTTCTAGGCACTTTCTGGTAGGTAGTGTGCTTGCAAGCAATGATACCTATTACTGTCTTTATAAGTATATACTCTTAGGAATTGTACATATTACTGGTCTGAGTTTTAACTTCTTTTCCTTTAATATATGCCAGTGAAATGAAAAGTTGAATATTTCACTTTTTAACTTTATTTTTGTAGGCCATCTACATGAGAAGATATTAAGCCCTCCCCCAAAACTTCAAAACAACCCTGTATATAAAGAGAAAAATAAAAAATTAAAAAACCCTGTATAATGAATAACAGTTCTTGTTGGAGATGTATATATACTTACCTCAAGTCTGCAGCCACACAACTGTCATTGTACTCTGAAAGCTGCTATAGACAATATGTAAAAATGCATGAGTATGGCTATGTTTCAATAACTTTATTTATGGACACTGAAATTTAAATTTTATATAATATTCATGTCAAGAAATATTCTTTTGATTTTTTTCAACCATTTAAAAATATAAAAACCATTATTAGCTCACAGCTGTACAAACACAGGCGGTGGCTAGGATTTGACCCAGAGGCTGTATTTGCTCATATCCATGTAGGAATTATTTAATGAGGTCTATTATCAGCAGTTATGATCTAAGACATTCAGTTTGATTTGTAAAGTAACCTGTAGTCTAGAACAGGGTAGGCAGAGGTTGGGCAGGATTCTCGTTTCTGTACATAAAGTTTTATTGCAGTGCAGCCACACCCTTTATTTATTGTCAGTGGCTACTGTTGTACAGCAAGAGTAGAACTGATAGTCAAGACTGTATGGCTTGCAAAGTCTAAAATATTTATTTGGCTGGCTTTTTTTAAAAAAACAAGTTTATGGGGCTGGCTGGTTAGCTCAGTTGGTTAGAGTGCGGTGTATAAAACCAAGATCGATTGTTCAGATCCCCCTACTGGCCAGATGCAAAAAGAAAAAAAAAAAAGTGAAAAAAAAAAGTTTACAGACCCCTGCCAATGGTTCTCAAAGTTTGTTCCCTGAATCAGCAATGTCAGTATGACTTGGGACTTGTTAGAAATGCAGGCTCTTGGCCCCCATCCCTGCCCAGACCTGTTGAATCAGAAACTGGTCGGGTAGTGACTAGTCGTCTGCGCTTTAACAAGTCCTCCAAGGGATTCTGATGATCAAATAAATATAAAAGCCGCTGTTGATACTAACAGAAATTCTTAGTATTTGTGACTAGAAATTAAAGATTAACTTCAAATTGCTTTTAAAAACAAAAAAACCCCCTGATCCATTACAACTATCCAGAAATATTTTTAAAGACTCTAGAGGAAATGATAAAAGTCATAGAACACTGGTTCCTAGCATGGCTTCAATAATCAACAGATAACTTCTTTTTTTATTTTTATTTTTTTTTGGTGGCTGTCTGGTATGGACCAAGTGAGCTAACTGGCCAGCCCCTCAACAGATAACTTCTAATCTTCATAATCAGATTATGTTAGCAGACTTGAGCGCTTATCTCATGCCAGTGATGGTTAAGCCCGTTGAATATATAATTTCAATGAACCCTTACAATAGTCTGAAGAGTTAGGTATTATTTTTCCCATTTTATAGATGAAGAGACTGAGGATTAAAAAGGTTAAATAAGTTCTTCAGGGTCACACAGCATGTAAGTGGTGGATTAGGGGCTCAAATCCAGATCTTTAACTTTAAAACCTTAGTTTTAACTCTACATTTTACTTCCTCTCTTGAATGAACAATACTTCAGGCAGGTGGGTTTTCAAATCCTCTTTTATCTATCACTGAAGGTTGGTAAGTATACAATGTTCTTTATCTTTCCCAAAAGCTTAAGGTTTCCCTCTGTGGTTATGTGATGTGTTTATTATATACATCTGAGAATGGACAATTATTATTAAAATGGTGGATTTATTTAGCTTCTTTTTGAAAAAGTTGTAAGCATTTATTTTTCTGGGTTGTGATGAAACAAGAAAGCTGATGCTCAAAAGTTCTTTAGTGTAATTATGAGAGGTACTGTTGGATGTGCAAATTGAATTTGTTTCTGAGAACAGTTTTTTAATCTTCATAGATACTCTTGGAAGGGCCTGGTACATTGAAGTTCAGTAATTTTTGCCTGGCAAAAGTGGAAGGTGAAAATCTGGAAGAGTTCTTTGCTCTGGTGGCAGCAGAAGAAGGAAGTGATAGTGGGGAAAATGTACTGAAGAAAAGCATGAAAAGTAGAGTCAAAGGTATGTGGACCTGGAGAGCTTAAAGATCATAACTCTAGTTATGGGCCACCCAAGTCCCGTGTTTAGGAGATAATGTCAATCTGTTATTTTGTCAGTCCAATATTGTATTTAAATAGTGGCCAGGAGAGGTCTAGTAGGAATGGTTTTGTACATGGCCTAAAGTTTTCCATGTGGATCAAATACTGTGTTGGGCATGGAAACCTTTAACAAAGCCTGTGTCTTGTCCTTAGTTTATGTTTCTGACTACTCATTAGAACATAAAGTGGGGGGGGGGGGTTCAGCACTTAGTACACTGCCTGGCAAACAATAGTGGCTTGATAGATATTTGCTCAACATTGATGAGTGGATGATATTCTGCAATTAAGGCATCTTTCTAAGGGTGCATTCTTGGCAGATGTTTTTGACAGCGAGATGGGGCAGGGATGTTAAGACTGCTGTATTGAAAGGAGAGTCTGAAAGTGATATTTCTTCTATCTTTTGGGTAAAGATCTTTCCTTCTCAAGTTCCATGAACAGGTACTTGAGACTTTGGGTCACTAAAGCTCTGTAACACCATGATTGTCAGTTAAGTTGGGTGACAGATGAAAGAGAGGGGGGCATCCATGGGCTTGGTATTCATGTGGCCCAGGGATGAGAAAGATGAGGGAAAAGGATAGGGAGCAGCCGGTTAATTGTAGGCTCTATAAATATGACCAAAGAAGATGTAACATTCAGGGCAGGTCTTGTATACAGTAAGATTTTGTGCCCAAGAAGAAGGGTTTTAGGGTCTCCAAATAGCATTCCATAGAATGACCAGCATTCTATGAAAATGACTATTGTGGACTATGTTAGTGGAATATTAAGTTCTGAATTATTATTGGTCATTTTATTAGAAAACAAGGAAGGTGGTATATTTCTGTAATACATATTTAATAAGGGAAGAGGGGTGTGTTGTAGAGAAATAGGTCAGAAGTTCTAGAAGTGATCCTCAGTTACTTCTGAGCTTAATTTAAGAATAGTCTCCATGCTGGGGCAAGTTAACCTCTTTGGCCAAGGGTGGAGGATGCCCTTGTAATCAACAGGGCAGAATCAGTCCTGACCTTTGGGGATCATCCACGTCATATGCAACTCACCGTCACATCCCTGTGGTATAAAGAGGAAAGTAAAAAGTAAAGCCCCTTTTATTTTTCTCTGGAGCCTTTGAGAATTTACAGCTGAAGTGTGGTGATGAACAAGGCACATGAAATAAACATATATGAGTGGCTGTGTGTTGTAGGGGAGCCATAAAAAACCTATTAACAATGATTCTGATGTTAGATACTGATGAATGAAAGAGAAAAAATTTTTGGTTGGGCTGTGTAAAGGTGGTATTGCAAAGAGGTTCTAATAAGGACACCTGGATGCTAGTTCTGTTTTTGTGTCCAACTGTGTAACCTTGAGAGCAATGTCACATAGCTTCAAGGAGTCTTAATTTCCTGTGTAGTTAGAGAGTTGTAGTGGATCATGGGTCCCAAACTCCAGGGTCGGGAAAGTTATATAAATGAATTAAGTGGCCCAGTTTAAGAGGGAGTGATGGAGGTCATGTCAAACTGGGCTCAGTTCTGGCCCAGTGTTATTGATTGATACAGAAACTGGAAATCTGGGCTGATTTATGAAATGAGTTTCAAATTTAGAATCCTCTACCTGCAGACTAGAATTCAATTTCTTGATCTGGTCTTTGATTGCTTCTCTATTCTTATGACCATGGGAATGTGCCTTGCTGTCCTTCAACTACAGGGAACATAATTGACCAAGGCCTCTAGCTACTTGAGGAGGAAATCCATTACTGTGTTTGCTGTGAAGCCACACTTCTTATGAGCTGTGCCCAGCTAATGACGGAGCATGGTGGGGATACAAAGGCAGGCCTATTCCTGGGCTGACGTTGATTCAAAGATTCTCAGTGACCTTGATCAACCTTTCTTAGACTGCATGGCATCTATCTAAGTATACCTCATTTAACCTTCCTTCCCTCTCTTGTCACGTGAGTCTAGCCTGGATTGTGGTCTGACCAGCTCTCATAGACATTTCCTGTAATAAAATCCTTGCATGGTTATCCTATCTTGATGTCTGCTTCTTGGAGGAGCCAGACTAACAGTTCTCTGCTTTGGTTGAATGTGTCCCCCAAAGGTTCATGTATTGGAATTTAATCCCCACTACAACAATGTTGAGGACGGGAAATCCTATTATGATGATTGAAAGGTGAGGCCTTAAAGAGGTGATTAGATTATGAGGGGTTCTCTGCTTTGGTTGAATGTGTCCCCCAAAGGTTCATGTATTGGAATTTAATCCCCACTATAACAATGTTGAGGACGGGAAATCCTATTATGATGATTGAAAGGTGAGGCCTTAAAGAGGTGATTAGATTATGAGGGCAGTACCCTCGTGAATGGATTGATCCATTCATGGAGTAATAAATTGGTTTAATGAGTGGTAATGGGCATGGTTCTGATGGCTTTAAAAGGAGAGCAAGTGAAGAGGTTAGTTCTCTCTCAGCCATTCACCATGTGATACCCTGAATTGCTGTGGAGAGTCACACCAAGAATAAGGCCCTTACTAGATGTATTCCCTAGGTTTTGGATTTCCCAGTCTCTGAAACTATAAGAAATACATTTTATTTCTTTATAAACTACCCAGTTTCAGGAATTCTTTTATGAGCAACAGAAAGGGACTAATTCATCATCCCCCACCACTCTCTGCTTTAGCTTTATGTCCCAGCAGCATTCTGTGTTTAGTTTCTTGCACATGTGCCCTTACTCCAGTGCCCTTACTCTTTTGGTTCTCCTGCTTTTCTTTCCTGGTGGCAGCTTTTTTGAGGGAGACTTCTTTACTTCTTTGCCCTCTGGTTGGCAGAATTTTATTGGACTGAATACTTAGGTGTTGGTTCTTTTTTTTCTATTACTCTTATGATATTCTGTGCATAAATCAGTCATTGAACTTACGCTGTAATAAATTTTTTGTGTTGGTCTTTCCCATTTGTTTGTGAATGTAAGGCTTTATATCCGTTCTATTTTATATATTCTTTGTATTTTTTTTTAAATTTCTTTGTTAGCATATTTTTTTTGTTAATTCCATATTCGTTAATTTGAGAAAAATTTAGGCATGTTCTAGGTACTGGGAATATGGATGTGAACAAAGGCAAAAATCCCTGCCCTAAGTGAACTTACATTTCCAGTGGAGTTAGACATTCATATTCAACAAATACTGTTGAAACATCTATTAAGTGTTGGGCGGGATGCCTGGGCATCCCATGGGTCTTATTTATCTTTGTTTTCTCAGCATCTAGTGCAGACAGATAGGCCCTCTATAATGTTTTTTGAACAAGTGAGTAACAAATAAACTTTTGTTGTTAATCCAGTGGAATTTGGGGGTTATTACTGCTGCTTAACCTATTCTAATTGAAATAGCATAAAGGAAGTTTCTTTTCTTTTGAGTATTTAAATTGTTAATTAAAAAAAAGAGTATTACCTGAATTTGCCACACCTCTCATTCAGATGGATTTTCAAAATGTTTATATTCATACAGTCCTTCGTAAAATGTGACCTTAAAATTAGAAAACATTTTAAAATGTGAAATGCACATGAAGTTTTATTCATGTGTATGTTTTCCTCCTGTCTTTTTTCATCTCACCAGGTTTCTCTCAGGTAGGTTTGTGTTGGGAACAATACGAATGTCTCACAGAGTTGTTCTTTGTACTTTGTTTTTAGGATCTCCTATTTATACAGCACCAGAAATTGTGAAGGGTACTGACTTCTCCATCACCAGTGACCTCTGGTCTTTGGGCTGTCTGCTTTATGAAATGTTTTCAGGTGATTATTTTCTGGTTCAGTATAAAATCAGAGCTAGACTAAAACAAACAAACAGAAACACCAGAAAAACCCAGTAAGTCTGTAGTTTGCAAATATTTTATCTATAAGATGTCAAAAAGCTGGTTTTGTTAAATTTTTCTGTATATTGATTTTGGCTAAATTGCTTGGTATCTAGGCGTATGCAGGTTCCTAGGTACTTTCTGACATATAGGTAATTTTTCATGATAATCTGGAATGTTGAAATGTGCCTAACTTTTAAAAACAGTGATTATTAGTAGAAATTTTTGTCAAGGGGCCTGAAATTATTCAGATGTGTTGAGTGGCCCATGTGGCCCTTGGCTCATACTAGTGGTCCATCCATGTGTGAATTTGTGTACTTAAGATGATACATTTTGAATTAGAGAAATATAAAAATAGACAGTGCCTGGTACATACTAGGCATTCAATAATTAGTTATTGTTATATACTTTTTCTGTAAATTATGTAATCCTGAAATTATCTGTAGTTGATATTAGTTTAGAATTATCTGTGATAGCAAACTGTTGTTTAATTTTGCAAGTTTTCATATGATTTCAGGCAAACCTCCATTCTCCTCAGAAAATGTTTCAGAATTAATTCAAAAGATTTTATTTGAAGATCCTTTGCCACCTATTCCAAAAGGTAAGATTTCTTATGATAAATGCAGTTAATTTGCATTCTAAACTGATTGAAGGTGCACCTTTATGCAAAGTCTATTTTTATTGATTCATAACCCCCAGTTATATTTTATAAATAGTCCCAAATTGATATTTTTAGAAATGTTAGCATTTTCTTTGCAATTTATTTTAGATACTAAAATGGAAAACAAAATACTACTAATAGCTTCCCTCGTTTAAAAACACAAATTATTTTGTGCTCATGTCACAAGAAGTCTGGTTTAAAGATTTAAAAACTTCAAACCTTTATATAATACTGACTTTTGTATTTACCATTTATTTAATTTACTTGTATCCATGTGGTTATTTCTATCTAGTATTTGAATAGGAACACATCAGGCATTTCTCATTTCTTGGCTTAATGTATCGGAATGCTACCATTACAAGTTTTAAAAATCTTTTAAACCTAGATATAGTTGTAGTATTTTAAAAGTGTTGGGACTTGGGCCGGCCCGGTGGCGCACTGCTACAGTGCGCTGCTTGGGAGCGCGGCGGCGCTCCCACTGAGGGTTCGGATCCCACATACAGACCGGCTGCTCACTGGCTGAGCGAGGTGCGGGCGCAACACCGAGGGTTGCGATCCCGTTGCCAGTCCCGGCCCGGTACGGGCGCGACACTGAGGGTTGCGATCCGTTGCCGGTCACGAAAAAAGACAAAAGGGAAAAAAAAAAATAATAAAAAAAAATAAAAGTGTTGGGACTTTAATCATACAAGTTGTGGTTAGTATATAACAATCTACCACTAGCAGTAATTTTAAGAAAAGAACAGAAAAATGAAAGAAGGCACAGACATAGTAAAACATTTTGTTGTACACCATAAAAGAAATTAATCTTAAGACACATAAATGGAAACAGATTCTACAAAAATTGTGCTTTGAGTTTTTTAAAAAAATAAAATTTTCAGAAGTAACAAATGGAGGAAATAGGAATACAGAATATTTTCAATATTTCAAGAATCATCCTAGGTGAAAAAATTCCTTATTTTGAAAATAGCCTATATTTCTTAAAACAAGAGCTGAATTTCTTTTTTCTTTCATTAGCTTTGTCTTAGTTTTTGCAGAAATCAGTCATTTCTGTAATGGTGGCCTCTGATTTCTTTGTTTTAAAAGCTCACAGTGCTGACTATTGTTTCTCCTGTAAATTAAAGATTTTTATGCAGAGAAGAGAAATCTGAAAATGAAGCTGTTGAGGGTTTGGTCAAGATATCACTGGTGGCCCAAGCTTAGTTATTTCATGGGAATCTTCATCAGATGGTGGCCATGGTGCCACCTGTTTGATTACTTTGTCTCAAGGGTGGTTGGAGATGGTGTTTAGTCATTTTCTTCATGGGCACTTGTTTTAACTGTAGGCTGATGAAGTGGCCATGGTATATATCTATCTAATTAAAAAAGTCAAAATATTATTGGACAGTGTCATAATGTTGTAATATTTATTACTTCAAAATAAAGAAAAGAGGGATTGTGAGTATTCTAATCATAGTATGTTATAACAGAGAGTTGGTCAGTTATGAATGTTCAGAGAATGAGACGTAGTTAATAGTGGAAGACAAGAGCATGAGTTTGTCAGACTGATTCTTATTGGGCTTGTTCAATAAAGAAAGAGATTAGTGGTTAGTTAAGACTTAGTTTTTGAGATTCTTTTTTTTGTGTGTGTGTGATCTAGGAATAAAGGGATCCGAACCCTCGGACGGGAGTGCTGCCGCGCTTCCCAAGCGGGCGCACTATCCAGTGCGCCACCGGGCCGGCCCAAGACTTAGTTTTTGAGATTCTTTTTTTTGTGTGTGTGTGATCTAGGAATAAAAGTGCGCCGCCACGCTCCCAAGCGGCGCACTGTAGCAGTGCGCCACCGGGCCGGCCCTCAGTGTTCTCTTAAAAGCATTTTATGTGTGTGTCTGGCTATTTGGTGTGAACAAACAAAAACTAATTAGTTTATATGCTTAAAATACGATTACTTTAAATGTTGATATAGGATATTGAAATACTCGTAAAGTTGATGTGTTATATATTCATCTACTTATCACCTTTTCCTTCTTGGAAATTAATTTGTTTATAGATTCTTCTCTCCCTAAAGCTTCTTCAGATTTTATTAATTTGCTTGATGGGCTACTTCAAAGAGATCCTCAGAAAAGGTATGAATGATATTTTAATGTGAATGAATAATGGAATTTTTTTTTCCCTTTCATGTGTTTCTAAAATAGTGCTGTTCTTAAATGTACAAATAGCTGTTCAAATTACTTTTTTTTTTTCACTCTCAGTTTGCAGTTGTTCTGGGTTTTTTTTTCCATTTAAAAAAAAAATTGTGGTAAAGTAAAATATATAAGGATTGATGTTTTAGACATTTTAAAACATACAATAGCATAGAATTCATTACATTCTCAAAGCTATGTAACCACCACCTCTGTCTATTTCCAAAACGTTTTTGTCATCCTAACATAAACTCTGTACCCATTAAGCAATAGCTTCTTATTATTCTGTCCCTGCAAGTATTTTTAATCGTGAGAAAGTCAGTTTCTTTTTTTTTTTTACATATTAAATAGTTGCCTAGTAGTTGACAGATATTCTTGTAATTCCCAAATCCAAGAAGTGCATTTCTTTCCATTGTGTACTTTAGGCTAAAACTATTTTAGATTATTTAACTGGGATGCTACTGTCAAGATGGCTAAAGTACTAACTGTAAACTGAGTGATATTTTGATGTGATATATTTTTATGATAATTCTGTCATAATGGGGCTATCAGGTGAAAGGATAATAGACACATTGTGAATTTTCTATGTTGCAGTGATAGCAAAGTTAGAAATCGTTGTGGCACAGGGTAGAGGAGGTTAGGATGAGATGGGGGAGTAGAAAAGGGGTCTCCTTGGTTAGGGAGACAAGAGAAACTAGTTTCTTTCTTTCTTTTTTTTTTTTCTTTATTTAAGGTGTTGTCAGCACCACACTCTCCAAAGTGAGCAAACTGGCCATCCCTATATGGGATCCAAACCCATGGCCTTGGTGTCATCAGCACCACACTCTCCTGAGTGAGCCACGGGCCGGCCCCAGAGAAACTAGTTTCTAGTTATGTTTTTGCTACTAGATAATTGGGTGTGGAGGGTGTTTAGGTAAGTTTTTGATGTCTCCTCTTTCAGAGTATAAAATAGAGAATAAATTTAGTGTCACATAAAATAATCCATTATCTACTTTTATTAAATATATGAAAAAAACTGCAGGACAAACCTCCTTTGCGCTTACATTAGAATGCTTTCAGGATTAGTGTTATTTTGGTGGATAATCTTTCAGACGTCTTTTGATAGGATATAAATATACCTCATTTATTTAGGATGGCATATCTACATAAGCCTACATTTATGCCCCATATTATATAATTTTTTGCTTAAATGGGACCACTTCATAACCTACTTTTTTCTCATTGTATGTTTTTTCATATCAATAAATACATATCTGCTTAATTCTCTTAAATGGCTGCAGAATGTACTTGGAATAATCTATAATAAGCATTTAGAATGTTTCTTGATTTGGAATATTATATATTTGCTGTAATGAATATCCTTTTATGAGGTTTTTTGTTTTTTGCTTCTCTTTGGCAGTGACCTCCTGTGTATAAATTTCTTGAAGTGAGATTGCTGGCCAAAGGGTAGGAGCATTAAAAAGTTTGACACACTTGATGCATTCTAGGAACATGTGCTGATTTATACTTTCAGCAACAAGAGAAGGAAAGCTCCTTCCCTTCCACCATTACCTACAGTGAGCTTTGTTGATCTTTTACATTTTTGCTAGTCTCATGGATGAGAAATAAATTTCACTTTATTGGCCATTTTTATTTCTCTTTTGGTGAATTATAAGAGCCCTTTGTATAAAAGGTATATGTGGTTGCCAATTCTTTCTCTTTATTATTCATGTTTTACTTTTGATCAAAGTAATTTTTATTTAATACAGACATTTTAAATAATTAAACAAATATAAATTCCTTTCTTTTTTGTTTCTAAATTTCAATCAAGCTTAATTTTCCCAGTCTGATGAGTATGACTAGAGGTATACCCTATTATAGTAAAACTTAATGTTTTGAAAATTAGCAAGGGTTTTAGATACTTAAAGTCATTCTAATGTGAGTGAACTAGCTAGGTAACATTATTTTGACCCCTAAACAGAGGTGTGACTGTATATAGTTTTGAAGCTGATATTCTTGTTTATTTCTGAATGAAGTTCTACAAATGAAGTTCCAGGACTGACATGTGTCAAACAGGGTAACTAAAATAGCGATGAATCTCTTGGGAAATAAAGGATGAGAGAGTTATAATTGATAAAATCTGATATATTTACTTTAGAATTTCAAATTATTTATAGACTCTCTTCATACATCGGTTGGAGAACCTGAAATGTTTTCATCAGACTCTATGGGATATAAACCCTGAGACTTCTAATACTTATTTGTCAGACTGTTTCATTCTGTACCATTGTAGGCTTCCGAATGATTTCTTCTGATTTTGCTGTCAAGAGAATTGCATACTAAAATCAAAGTAAAATATAAAACGATTTCAGATACATTTGTATGGAGATATTTATAAATTGTAAAATCTGATATATTTAATTGGGACATGTTCTCGGAATTCTCCATGGTAAATTATGTTTAAATAGAGTTTTAACATTTATGTTTTATAAAGATTAACTTGGACAGGCCTACTGCAGCATCCATTTTGGAAGAATGCTTTCACTAGAGAAGATGAGGAATCAAGCATTGAGGATTTCAACTTCAGGTAGCATAAACTTGTCTTTGCTTGGGGCATAGTTATTGAACACTCATGCCCATTACTATGCTAATACTATAACATCAGTGACCTTAATTTCTATGCTTTCATGGTAAGAGAAAATCTAGCATTTGTTGAATTAAGGGTTGCTTTTAAAGAGTTTGGTTATGATCTTTTTGTGTTCTTGATTTTGCTCATTTTAAAAAAAAATCAATTGTTCAATCAGTGATTTAGTATGGTAGTCATTAGTCCTGTTCACCAAATACATCTGGCTTCTTGACAGATGTACGTGGTAGGATCTCATTCCCATTTTAAGGTAGGTGTGCTCATGTGACTTGCCTTGGCTAACGAAACGTGAGCAGAAATTGTTATGGCAGAAGCTGCCAAAAGGAAATGCAGACACTCGGAGAGATGGAGAAGTCAGATGAGTTATTATGCCGGCAGTCTCAGGGGAACTACCCAAAAACCTGAGCCCCGAATGCACGGTGAACTAAGGTTATATACTTTTCTTGAGCAAGTAAGCAAGCTTTTCTGCTGGCTCTCCGTCTGTATTTAGGCAGAATTACCTAAATTGGGGTCTTTTACCAGGTGGTTAAAAGTGGGTAAGGGGCTTTGGGTAGGGGGCTTCACCAGGTGGGCAAACTGGGTTATGGGATGGGAAATGTGGTTGGAAGCTTTCTGCAACATGAGCTAGAGACCAACTCTGTCTCTCATACATACAGGAAATGGTGACAGGCTGAGGTTCAACTCAGTCTCTCACACAGGAAGGTCAAAAAACCTGACAGGCTTGCAAACCACAGAGTTGTAGAGCTCAGAAATGCATTCAGCTGTTAACCCTTGACACAACTCTAGTTATTACTTACATACAGGCAGATATTAGCTGAAAAATTAAAATAAGGATTAAAACAAGGAGAGGACAAGGAATTTAGCCACTTCAAAATGATGTGTATTATTTCCAGGTAGAATCTTTAAGAGCAAGTGTGCGATTTGCTACATATCTTCCTTCTGATGAGGTAATTGGGAAGAAAAATGTAAAAATGGAGTTGACGTAAGCCTGGGTCGTCTTTTTTTTGTATTTTTTAAAGAGGCTCAAACAACTGTATTTTCATTCAACCTTGGCTCTTGGCTGCCCAAGAGGAGGACAGTAGAGGTCAGCCACAGAGGAAAGCTGGTTCCAAGCCCCAACTGTCCTTCCCCTTATCCCCAGACCAATGAACATCCACCTGCATGGTGTCAAGCCCTAGGATAACCCTGCAGGCCCCACAAGGCTGGCTTTTGTCCTCTCTCACTCCTTCCAGCTCCTTGCTCATCCTCAGGCCTCAGCTGGCCCCTTCCTCAATGGCCTGGGACAGTCGGACGTGTGGAGGCAGCAGAGCCCAGCCCTGGCCCCCATCAGCCTGGGTACTGAGTGACTGTGGTGAACATGGTTTTCCTACTAGCCTTCAATGGCTGTATGAATGAATGAGACATAAAGTTATGAGATTTTAAGTCACTAGGATTTGGTAGTTGGATATTACCACTGCATAACCTAGTTCGTCTTGCCTCATATACTTCATTTTTATTATAAAATCTTCTTAGCCCAGGACACTGAACAAACTGATGGTGTCTGGAAAAGAGCAAGGTGAGGAGTAGTTGAGTAATAGTTGAATCATAGTTGACTAATTTTTCCCCCTCAACTTATTCAGTGGTAAATGGTTGTCTGCTTCTTAATTTTGTATTGGGCATGAAGGCCTGAATTCTGTTTAATATCTCTCCCAAACTTCAGTTTTGTGATCCAGTGAGCTTCAGCTGTGTTCTCACTGTTGTATTAGGCTCTATGGGAGCTACAGAGAGGTTTGTTACAGCTCCCACCTTCCAGTTGCTTATATTCTGGCATAAAGTCAGTATCATATGAAAAAGCTAATACCTTGGTAGTCTTGGCAAACTGGATTCTGGTCCTGGTCTGTAAGTATCAACAAGTCACAGAACACCTTTGACCCTTAGTTTATTGTCAGAGAGAATTCCTGCTCTGCTACTTTCCCCACGGAGTTGTTGGGGAAAGTATCTGAGATCATATAAATGGAAATACTTGGAAAAATGTAGACGATTATACAAGTAGATATTATTAATTCTTTGCTTTACCCTATTCTCTTTTTTGTTCTGCGAGATGAATATTGAGATCTTTGCAAGTTATGGAATACAGTAATGTGACTTAGTTAAAAGCTTTTTGTCTTTTAGTTTGTATGTACTTAGAAATGTAGGAAAAATCTTGTCATCACTAATAAAAGATTTTTATGTTAATTATAAGTCTCTTACATAAGCAGTCATGTCATCTGCTAATAGGGATGGTTTTATTTCTTTTTGATCTGTATGTCTTTTTTTTTTTTTTTTGCCTTGTTGCTTTTGCTATGCCGTTTCCAGTGAAATATTGAAACGGGAATGATGAAAGTAGACATTTTTGCCTGGTTTCTAATTTTAGGGCAGAAGCATTCAGTCTTTCCCCATTAAGTATTATGTTACCTAGAGGTTTCTGTAGCTGCCCTTTTTCAGTTTGCATGAATGATGAATTTTGTTAAATGTTTTTTTCTCTAGCATTTGATGTGATCATGTGATCTTTCTTCTTTAGGCTCTTACTATGGTGGATGACATTAATTGGTTTTCACATACTGAGCCAGCCTTGCATTCCCACAAGAAACTCTAATTGGTCATGGCGTATTATAATTTTTATGTCTTGCTAGATGCATTTGGATGCAAGTGGCAGGAGGACAGCGAAAGTGAAAAAGAGCGGAGTAGCATGGATTTGCTTCATGTTCTTGGGTACATAGCTCTCTGGTCAGAGGAAAAGTTTCCCCTCTTTCAGAGTTTTAGGCACTGGCCAGCGGCTACTGCTGTCCCCAACCAGCTGCTGCAGGATTACCTGGAGGCTGCTCAGGACAAAAGGGAAAAAAGAAAAACAAACCAGGCCGGCCCGTGGCTCACTTGGTAGAGTGCGGTGCTGATAACACCAAGGCCACGGGTTCGGATCCTATATAGGGATGGCCGGTTTGCTCGCTGGCTGAGCATGGTGCTCACAACACCAAGTCAAGGGTTAAGATCCCCTTACCGGTCATCTTTTTAAAAAAAAAAAAAAAAAAAAGAAAAACAAACCAGGCGATTTACCCTTCCCTCTCTGACCTTTAGGGTCTCTCTTTCCCAATCCTTGGAACAGAAATAGAGGACTTCTCTTGAGGTTCTTTTTTTTTTTTTTTTTTTTTTTTTTTTT